AGCAGCAGTGACTCACAGAAGGCAGCCTTCTGGAAAGCAGTTATTAGCCCATAACCTCCAATCCAATTAACGGATCTAGGTGGAGCCTTTGCATCAGGTGAAAACCAAACCTAGACTCTCTGAAGTTCTCCTAGGGCAGACAGGCAGGCAGGCAGGCAGGCACTGTGGTAGATGCTGACCTCACTCTTTTGTATAATGACACACCAGCATGTGGGAATGCTCATGTGGGAATGCTCCTTATTCTGGTACTAGGAACCAAGAAGAGCTCTGAGCTCAGCCTTCCAGAGGGGCCTGCAATGTGAGGCCTAGACGTGTCTTATTCCAGACAGGGTTTCTCTCTACAAATTGGTCCCAAAGAAGGCTTTAGGACTTGCTTTGTTAAAACTCCTTGAAGGAAAACAACTCCAAAAAACTCCTGTTTGTAAGCAATAGAACTCTTCTACAACTAGATGCCTAATTTCTGCAGCAATTAGAGATGGAAGTATTTGTAATACTTATTATTTCTCCCTCTCCCTCTCCCCCTCCCCCCTCCCCCTTCCGCTCTCCCTTCTCACGTCTCTGTCTTCCTACAGGTGCCGGCCATCACACCCAGCAAATTAAGTAAGGGGTCCTGAAGCACATTCCCCATCTGTTGACGAATCCCCTCCCCTAGATGCTTTCTCACCTCCAGTCTTTAAAGGTTCTCAAGAGTTCTTAGCCGCTTACTAGCTGTGAAAACTGGTCACATCACTCATCACCTGTAAAATTAAGATCATCCCGCCTCCTAAGCCAAGAAAAGTCACAGCATAATGAAATGCTGCCATACAACTAACAGGTTTCATTCACTCAGTCCAAACACATCTAATGAGGATTTTGCCAAGTGTTGGACATGAACTTAGACCTTGGGTAAACACACTTGCAGAAGGCAGTCCTGCCCACCATGGAGCTCCAAGGCAGGAGAAATGGAAGGAACAGAGGTCAGCAACAGTGTGGGGAAGAAAACGGTGCTACTGGAACCAACAAGAGCTCCAAATGTAGACAACAAGGGCTCAGAACAGCTCTGCAGAGGAAATGATGTATAGGGAGAGACCTGAGAAAGAGCAGGAGTTGGAGCACATGGTGGAGGGTCAGTGGAGGGGAAGGTTACTTACACAAAGAGAGGCTATGAGGGCCTGGAGCAGGAGCACAGCATCTGGAGGAAACTGCAAGTGGTATTAGAAAGTTGAAGCCTGAAAGGAAGTAAGGCAGAGACAGAGGAGCTGGCAGGGTAAGCAGGCAGCAGGTCACAGGGGCCTTTGGACTTCAGCTCCCTAAAGAGGGGGCAGCATATGAGCTGTGCAGCACAAGAGTGAAACCAGAAGGCTGGGGGCCCTGCTAAGCCCAGAAGATGCGCATGAAAGCCATTAGCACTCTCGTACACCACCCACTCTACTGAGGCATCAGAACACAGGAGCACAGGGGGTGTCTCCTCATATGGTAACATGTTTTCTGGAGATTTATTACACAGCAAAGCCAGCTTTTGTCTAACCAGTCATAGAATGTAGTGGGGACAGTGTGGATGGAATCTGGAGGTAGAAGGGTCAAAGGAAATCACAGGCCCAGGGCTGCAGTGAACTTGGCCTCTGCTTTCCTTCTCTAAGGCATGCCCAGCCTAGGAAGCCTGGCCTTATCGGGGTGCTGGAGAACGTCTGAACAGGAAACTGCTTGCCCAGGGATAGCGCACATTAAGACAAGAGTAATGCGAAGTTTCCAAGCTGGGCCCCAAACAGTTCCAACCCTATTTTCTTGCCACACCCCAAAGAAAACAAGCATGACTCAACAACTGCATCAGTCCTGGGAGGGGGAGCCGGGCTGCTGCAAGCCAGCCTCTCAGGGCCGACTCCTCACACTCCTCCAGGTTCATGGCTAAGGTTCCTCTGATAGTCACAGGAGGAGGGGGACCTTGATCCATACCCACCCACGATGGCTCCAGCCATTTTCCTCTGCCTCTACTAAGTTTTTAGCCACCAAGCTGTGGTCAAATGGAGTCAAGAAAAGCAGCTGAATTGACTGGGACAAGTCAGACACTTCTGAAGTCACCCCAGGGGCCACAGTACTGTCTGTAGCTGATCCGAGGGACTGGAGGCAGAAAAGCTATGGAGAGTAACAAGACTTAATGCTAGAATTTCAATCCCATGTCAGGATAGCTGAGAACCTGGGGCAAGGCACTTAAGTGTCTGTGGAGTTTCAGCTGAGTAGACTACATGGGAATAATAACTTCTTGCTTGGAGGGTTATTGGACAGCATGTATCCCAACGTCTAAAACAGAATAGGTACTAGGAAAACAGGAATTCTAATAGCAGATATTAGCTGCCCAATTCATAACACTCTATTTGTGCTGGATTTGATCCCCCAGAGAATCTTATGAGCAGCTTGAGGGCAGTGACAATGTGTTGAATACCCTTTCCTTCCCACACTCCCCACAAGAAATATGGGCCAGCACATATTTCTTGGCAGAATAATATATGCAGATACTGAGATTTCTTGGGGGAACAGTAGTGTTAAACTAATAGTTTCTTAACACCCAAGGCATACAGAATCTCCCGTTAGTAAGTAAAATCTAGGAACATTTGCACACTTCTTCCCACTGTTAGACATGTACAGAAGGAATGAGTCAGTAGAAAAGTTAATACTGAGTTGTGGTGAGTGACAAAGGGCTGAAGCTACACTGTCTGGGGGAACCTGTCATTCTCTAAGGTGTGGCCTTGGCTAGGTAACTGGAACACCTGTAAAATGGGAATATTCAGGGTACCTAACAGAGTTATGGAAACTATTAAAGGGTACTTGGGAAAGTACTTCCAATAGGGCTAGAAGTGGAGGGAGTCAGAGTTGCAGAAGTTCTCATCATCCATCATCACTACCATCATCTTCAGTGAAACTCAGTTATTGGTTGGGCTAGACTCCCTTGTTAAAGGGTAACATTGGAAATCTCACCCTGGAAAGATTCTAATTCTGTCTAATCTAAAAGATTCTATAATGGAGAGTCCACCCTGCATAGTGGAGGTATGCAGAGCTGGGCCCTTTCTGGAATAGTCCATATAGCAAAGTAACCTTGTGTTGCAAGTGTCTTGCAAATCATAAAATGTACTGCAAATATTAGCATTATGTGTTTTGGTTCCCAAAACATAGAAACAATTCATCAACATTATCCTAGTTCCTGACTGACAATTTACTGTGATCTGGATACTGTGCCTACTATTCAAGTTTCCTGACCTAATGGTCCCCAAGCCCCGAAAGTTAGAACTATTCTCATCTCCCATTTTAAAGACAAGGGAAATGACATCTGTGCTGGATGGCTTTAGTTGTCAACTTGACACACCTGGGCTGAGGAAACCTTAACTGAGGAATTTCCTCCGTTGGATTGGCCTATGGCCATGTCTGTGGGGCATTTTCTTGATTGCTGAGTTATGTGGAAGGGCCCAGAATGTGGTGGTTTGAATGAAAATGTCCCCCATATGCACCAAGTGTTTGGACATTTTGTCCCCAGTTGGTGGCGCTGTTTTGGGAGGCTTTAGTAGGTGCAGCATGGCTGGAGGAAGCAGTCACTGGAGGCGAGCTTTGAGAGTTCTTAAGCCTTGCCAGATTTCTAGTCACTCTGTTTCCGGTGCCTGCTTGAAGATGTGAGCACTCCACTCTGCTTTGGGCCCCTCCTGCCACCACACCTCCCTGCCATAATAGATTCTTAGTCCTCTGGAACCATAAGCAAAATAAATTTTTTCTATAAGTTGCTTTGGTCAGTGTTTTTATCACAACAACAGAAAAGTAATTAATACAACATCCAAAAGTCACTTACAGTCTCCTGTGTGATTCAAACCCAGGTCTCTTGGTGTGCTGGATAGCTTTAGTATCAACGTGACACACCTGGGTTGAGGGAGCCTCAATTGGGGAATTTCCTCTATTGGACTGGCCTGTGGCAATGTCTGAGGGGCATCTTCTGGGAGGGCCCAGCCCACTGTGGGTGGTACCACCCCTGGGCAGGTGGGCCTGTGTTGCATAAGAAAGCAGGCTGAGTAGGGGCCAGGGGAGCAAGCCAGTAAGCAGCATTCCTCCATGGCCTGTGCCTCAGCTCCTACCTCCAGGTTCCTGCCCTGAGTTCTTACCTTGGACTCCCTGATAAACTGTGACCCAGGAGATGTAAGATAAAATATACCCTTTCCTCCCCAAGTTGGTTGTGGTCAGAGTGTTTTGTCACAGCAATGGAGAGACAAACTAGGACACTTGGCTTCAAAGTTTTGCTTTGAATTGCTAGGTCATCCTTGTGGGTTGAATATAAATGTTCTCAGATACACAAAGTTGCCAGCCAAATGCTAGTAACAGTGCTCCAGAGTCTAGGGGTTCCACCTCTGGCCCATTGGCAGGCCCACAGCAGCGAGCACTGCAAGACCCTTGACTTTGCTCCACCAGATCCAAAAATCACCTTCTTTCCCTTATCATTTACTGCATCAAGCTTTCTTCACCTGTCCTAGAGGGGTAGGATTCAGAGCTCAGCTAGCCCTGAAGAGATTGAAAGTTACATTTCCTGGGGTTAGAGAGATGGCTCAGAGGTTAGGAACACTGGCTGCTCTTGTAGAGGACCCAGGTTCAGTTCCCATCACCCACATGGTGGCTAACAACCATCTATGACTCAAGTTCCAGGTGATCAGATGCCCTCTTGCCTCCATGGGCATTGCATGACACAGAAGCATTTACATAGATGCAGGCAAAATACTCATTCACATAAAAACATAAAATAGAAAGAAAGAAAGAGAGAGAGAGAGAGAGAGAGAGAGAGAAAGAAAGAAAGAAAGAAAGAAAGAAAGAAAGAAAGAAAGAAAGAAAATTACAGCTCCTAAATCTAAGGATTTTCAACCTGGCCAGAAATCATTGGTTTTTCTGGCTAGGACATCAAAGCAAAATTCAATCCTTCCTACTGAAAACAGAACTGTTTTTTTTTCTGAAATCAGAAGAGCACTTTGTAGTGAAGAGGAAAAAAGACAACAAGCAAAGGTAACATGTTTTGATTTAATATCCCAAAGTATCTGTGTAGTTGGGACTACGCTGCAAAATAATGCAGAAATCTGTAGGGAAGCACGTCTCACTCTGAGGAAAACTGATTGGAGAGAAGGCACCAGAAACTGTATTTTGTTGGGTTACATGTAACCAGTAAACAAGGAGAACATCTCACAGAGGAGAAAAGAACTTTGCTGTCATTTCGTGGGTACCACCTAAGGATGAAACATGGCCTGACACTGACCCTCTGTCTTCACTGTACACTGTAGTATAAACAGTACCTGATACTAGAGACAATCGCCCACCTACAGCAGTACAAAAGAGCAAGAGAAGAAACAGACACGGGCACGAGCCCTCAGGATGGCTTTTGCTCTCCCACACAGCTCTATCCGCAGTGCCTGAAATGCTCTGTTTATCAACAAGTGGGAAGTGAAAATCAAATCCTAAAAAGCCCGGGCAAATATACTTTATTTCTGTCCATGCTCTTCAATCAGGTGGTGATGGGTCCTGGGTTGAGGGACGTACTGCCTCTGGCTGTCTTTCTAGGTGATGACAGTGGGTGCGGTGCGTCCTGTCCTCTCTTGCAGCTGGGACACCTTCAGAGCAATGGAAATAAGGGGAGCCAACATGACCTGAGGGAAACAGAAAGATAAGAGTCTTTTCCATCACCTTCTGAACAGACCACTTGCTCCACCCCGAACTTTATCAAACCCCAACTCCTGAGCCATGAGTCAACCCCTACTCCAGGTCTCCAAGGCTGCTCAAACTCTTTTAAGAGCAAACCCATGTTCTTTCTCCCAAAACCTAGCTCCCACAATCCCTGCTTCAGTAAACTAATGTCATGGTTTACCCTGTAAAGCAAACAACTAAGCCATTCTTAACATCTTCCCCTACACATTCCCCATGGGCAACGCATCAGCAAGCCCAAGGTACTTTTACCTTCCAAATTTCTCTCCATGGTACCCATTTCTCTCCCACCCTCTGCTTTCATTCCTGTTAAAACATATATTGTCCTCTAGTATTTAGGTACTTTTGTATCCTCTGAGTTGCTTCTCACACTACACCCAAAGAGATCTTTCAAATGCAACCCCGTCCCCAACAAACAGTTCTCACTTAAGGGTGTGGGGGATTCTGCAGATGAAATGAATAAATTGCCTTTTTGATATTAAAAAAAATGAGGGGCTGGAGAGATGGCTCAGTAGTTAAGAGCACTGAGTGTTCTTGCAGAGGACCTGGGTTTGATATCCAGCACCCACATGGGCGCTAACAACTGTCCTTAACTCCAGTTCCAGGGGAATCTGATGCCCTCTTCTGACCTCTGTGGGCAGTGCACAGCATGGGTATACATGCAGGCAATAGACTTACACACATAAAATAAAAAATAAAATAAAGTATTTTTTTTTATGAAAACTACTTATCTAATTGAACTACCCATTTTATAGATGAGAAAACTGATTCTAAAGGATGGCATGATCTGACTCAAATGACCTGGAACAGAATCTTTTCTTGCTGTTACTTTTTCTCATCTACACCAACTCACAGTAACTGGGAAAACCAGCACCACCTGCTGAGACCACCACTTGCCATGGCTCTTGGAGCTTAGACAGTACCAAGAAAGCACTGAGGTTGTAGTACAGCAGCTATAAAGACAGGCATCTCCCCGACTGGATGGGGTGCCTCTGGCACAGTGGGGACCCAAGCCCTTCACACAGTCCTGCTGGGGATTCTGGTTCAAAAGAAATACACTTTTCATTCTTTTTACCTACCATGTGCAGACTTTTATCTTGAGGATAAAACAAGAAATAAACAACCTCCTCCCTCTTTTCCTCATGCTCTGTAATCCTACAGGCCTGTGATGCAGACTCCAAGGCTTAAATCTTAGGGACACCAATAACAAGCTGGAATTATCGAAGCTAGAACCTGGCACTGGAAACAGTGTGAAAGCAAAGCACTCTGACGACCTCCTTTTTAATAACAGCAGCTACCACTTACATGAAGAATCTAGCCAAACTCGCAGGCACAGAAAATAGTGTCAGTTGCAAGACTGAGGCAAAGAAAATGGAAAGCTACTGCTGGAGGGTATCAAGTGTCAGTTGAAAGGAAAAGGTTCTGACAATCTGTCAGACAATGTAAACATGTATAATGTCACTAACTGTACACTTAAAAAACAGGATGGTAAATTTTATATTTTTACAATTAAAAAATTTAGGCTCAAAAAATTAAAAAATAAACAACTATAAGAACTGCCTTCTTTTCTTATATTTATTAAAGACTATGCATGTATGTGTATGTGTGTGTGTATGTGCAAGCATACATGTGGAGATTAGAAGACAGTTTAAGGAAGTTGGTTCTCTCCTTTACCACATGGATTCTAGGGATCAAACTCAGGTCATGAAATTTGGTAGCAAGTGCCCTTACCTGTTGAGCTGTCTCACGGGCCTTAACTGCTCTTTCTTAAGAGCTAATCTTATGTGCCAGCCTCAGTGTTTCAGGATTTTGAATTCAGTATCTCCCTAAATTCCTGTACCATTTTATAGAAAAGGAAAACAAGATATACAAATATGAAACAAGTCACCCAGTTGTACACAAGTCTTCAGTGACAAGAAGAGCATTTAAAAATAAGATCTCATCAACTCTACAATCTATGTGTTCAAACCACTACACTAGGAGTCTGCAATGCTAGCCTTATATGACTTTATTAGGTGTTGGAAGAAAAGAGGTTTTGTGAAAAAGTAAATATGGCATGTTTTGTTTTGAGACAGGGTCTCCCTGTAGCCCCAGCTGGCCTGGAACTCTCTGTGTAGATCAGGTTGGCCTCGATCTCACAGATCTGCCTTCCTCTGCCTCCCAAGTACTGGTATTAAAGGCCTACACCACCATGCCCAGCAATTCTTTCTTTTTTTTTTTTTTTTTCTTTCTTTTTTTGGTGTTTTTGAGACAGGGTCTCCCTGAAGCCCCAGCTGTCTTGGAACTCACTATGTAGACCAGGCTGACCTTGAACTCACAGAGATCTGCCTGCCTCTGCCTCCCGAGTACTGGGATTAAAGGTGTGCACCCCCACGCCCGGCTTCTTTTTTTTTTTTTTTTTAAGATTTTATTTCCTTTATTTTATGTGTCTGAGTGTTTTGCCTGTATGCATGTATATGCACCACATGCATGCAGTACCCACAAAGGCCAAAAAGGGTGTCAGATCCCCTGAAGTTAGCATTACATGTTAGCTGTCATGTGGGTGCTGAGAACCAAACATGGGTCCTCTGTAAGAGCAGCAAGTGCTCTTAACCACTGAGCCATCTCCCAAGCTATCTCTCCAGCCCTTAATTTTTTAAAAAATAAAAATTATTTATATTTGCCAGGCATGATGGCACACACCTTTAATCCCAGCACTCGGGAGGCAGAGGCAGGCAGATCTCTGTGAGTTCAAGGCCCACCTGATCCACATAGTGAGTTCCAGGCCAGCTGGGGATACAGGGAGACCCTGTCTCAACAGACCAAAAAATGTTTATATTTAAGATACCAAATATAACTATTTTTTTCAGGATTGGGGCAAACTCAGAGACTCATGAATGGTAAGCAAGTACTCTACCACTGGGCCACATTCCCAGGTCCAAACAGGATGTTTAATACACATGTAATGATGAAGCGATTACTACTGGCAACATAATTAATGTATCAATGTCCTCACATAGTTATTTTTTTTGTTGTGGTAGGTAGAACACTAACAATATGGTCTCTCGGAAAATTTTAAACATATAATACAGGGTTAATAATAACAGGCATCAAATTGGCCATGAGATCTGAAGAACTACTTTCACATAATTGAAATTCTCTACCCTTTAACCAACATTTCCTAACTGCTCCTAGTCCCCAGGCCCTGGTAACTAGCCTTCTTCCCTCTTTTCAACTTGAACACTTTTCTTAGAGTCAACGAATGAGCTCACAGAGAATTTCTCTCTCTGGGTCTGGCCTGTTTCACTTAGCACAATGTTCTCTAGGTTCATCCATGTTGTAACAAATGGCAAGACTCTCTTATTTTTTTAAGATGGAATAATTTTGCAGTGTGACTGTAATCCATCTTATCTCCTCATCTGTTGACAGTAATTAGGTTGGATGCATATCCTGGCAACCACTGCATGAACATAGGAATGCTGACTTCTCTTGAGGATAATGATCTCAGCTTCTTTGAACACATACCCCAAAGAGGACTGTTGATAACATGAACTTCTTTTTATTTTGTATTTTTTTAAATTTCCGTATGTTCCAAAACTGCTATACCAATCATATTCCAAGCAATAGTATACAAATGTAGTCCCTATTTTTTCCAGCATTTTCAACAACACTTATCTTTGGTCTCTTTGACAATAGCCAACCTACAGGCAATGGGGTTACATCTCACTGTGGTTCTGATTTGCATATCTTAGTGAGTAGAGGTGGTAGCCTCTTTTTCATATACCTGTTGACATTTATAGATCTTTGAGAAAATCCATTTAATTATTCAGCAAATGCCTTTTCAATGAGCATCTCTTAGTGTCTGTCTTCTTAGTGCCTTTAAGGTGCAGTATGTGTTATGAGTCACCAAAAGGGAGCAAACATGCCATGTTTCCTAGATAGTCCATGGTTGTGAAGCTGGCTGGAGGTCAAGATGAGTACTGTGAGGAACACACTCCTCTGTGCATGCTTTCTCCTCTCAGTGCCTCCATGTCGGTGGCTGTTCTGCAAGGTCTTGGTCTCAACCCTGGTTCCCAGGGTCCCTTCTCACTCTGACATGCTCACAGACACTCTACAGGTATGGTCAGACACCCAACCCACCAGGCTCCAAGTCAGTAGACTCTTCTGTGAAGACACAATAAAACTGCCTCTCCCTGTATGCTCTGTCAGAACAGGTAATCCACCCAGAAAAAGCAATGTGTGATCAGTGACAGGACAGAACACCATATAAGAAACCTACACAGAGATTTGTTATCCTGAATCTGCCAGTTAACAGGAGTACACACCTATTAAGTGTTGCTTAAATTTCCAGTGCCTCAGTTTCCTTATCAGTATCAGAAAGAATGTTTATATCATTTGAGAATTAAGTAGGGGTAATGATATGACTCAGTGGGTAAGAGCACTTGTTGCACAAGCATAATTACCTTAGTTCAAATCCCCAGCACACACATAAAGAAAGCTAAGCATGGCCACGGGCACATTTATAACCCTAGCACTGTGGGAGACAGAGGCTAGAGGATCTCTAGGGCTTGCTGTCTACCAGCCTAGCTCCAAGTTTAATGAGAAACCCTGTCTCAAGGAAATAAGGTGGAAAGTGACAGAGCAGGCCAGTGAACATCCTCCTCTGAGTTCCACAAACACACAAGCATAACATCACATATATACACCACACACACACACAATACATACATACACACACATCACATGTATATACCACATACACACACACAAGCGCACACACACACATACGCACACACATACACACACAGAGGCAGCAAAAAAGAGAATTAAATCAGCACACTTATGTAATAACTTGGCAAACAGCCAATACTCAGACAAATGCTAATTATTACTGTGGCTGTTGTCTGTTATTTGCTCTCACATACTCAAAGAGACATGGAACAAAGAGAGTCCAACTGATGCCCTGATGGGTCACTGAGAACTGGTGGTGACGAGGCGGATTCAGTGGACCATGACCCATCCAACAGAAATAACTAATCAGGGGTGCAGGGCTTACCTGGGGATCCTGATTGATCTTTGCAGCATCCTTCTCATAGCTATCGATGTACAGTCGAATAGTGGCCCCTGCACTCCCGGTGCCACTCAGTCTGAAGATGATACGAGAACCATCTGCAAAAATAAGCCGCAAGCCCTGGAAAAAGATAAGCAGTGGTTTATTCCCCCACATGCCGAAAGGGAGACTGAAGACCAGCAAACCATGAGGGGTCCATTTGGAGATTTAATGTTATCCACTGGAGGATTAGAGGCTTGATAGATGGCAGCAATCATGCCCTGTAAGTCTGCCTTCCGTCAGCCTCTCACTGCATCCAGACGAGGGGCTTAGCTAAAGTGGGAGCAGGGTCAGTTGGGAGACACAATCTTGGCGATTCTGGATGGCATGAGGCTCCCTCCCCTGCCTACTTCCCTGTGATTCATGGACTGGCCAGTGTAGCTTGAAGTTTAATAAGTAAGTAAAGCTGCTAGATGCAGAAATTTGACTCCTGGCTCTGGAGAGAGCCATAGGCAGATGAGGGGGAGGACTCTTTACAGAGCTCTGGGAGGGAGTTTCAGAAAGAGAAAAGGAGGCCTCATGCCCCTGACTTATCCAGCAGGATCCAGTGGTCAATTTGATGATGCCTGAGGACTCAAAGTAGGGGTTCCTGTGGGTGCAGGGCTGAGCACCCTTCTCTTCAGCACCCTCTCCTTCCCTCCCTGTCAGTATTCTTGTGTCTCACTAAGGAAAAGGCTGAGAACTCTGGGACAGGTATTTTTCCAGCACAAGGGAAGAAGGCTATGACAGACTGTTTCCTGAGGGCCCTTCACTCCATGTGTCTACCTGGACTTTTCACAATGCCAGAGACTGACCAGAAGGAAAGACACACCCCACCTAGTGCTCATCACCACCCCCCATCCAGTTTTAATCATGTGAGGATTCTTTAGTGCTCACTGTTGAAGACAGTAGGTAGAACATGCAGAGGACAGTTCATTCCCACTCACTGTAACTTGCTGTCCAAAAGCATACCAGGGTTGTTCTCTTTCCCCAGCATTACATTTACTTAGGAGCATTTTCTCCCCTACCCCATCTTCCTGATAAGTGATCAGGTTTCCTAATTCTACAAAGTGGTACAGCTGCCTCCTGGCACACAGCATGGCTCCCACTGCTGTGCCTCTGCTCTGCTCCTCCCTCATGGCTGATACTGCATGCTTGCACAGCTGGGGACTCCTCCACTCTTACCCTGAAGACTTTACTCCAACAACTTCTGTGCCGCTTTGCCATCCCCCAGGCCATCCTCCCCTCTACAGGACCCCCACCTTCTAATTACCAAAGACCTAAACTGTTTCCAAAGTACTCATAGATGGTAAAAGGAACAAGGTTAACTTACCTGCTAGAATTGGGTACTAAAGGTATTCATGGGGAGGGTCTGGTGCCCATCCTCCACACACTCTCTACAGAGAGACGTTCAGTAAATCCCATAGCCCATCTCCTCCATGGCCTGGCAGATGCCTTAAAAAGGAGGAAGCCAAAGCTCTGAATCTCCAGAAAAAGCAAACTGGGAGGTTAGGTTGTAAGATCCTCATTCCCTTTATTGTCTCTGTTTCTGAATTCCCAGATACAAGCCCGTTCTGCAACAACAGGCAATGGATCCAGAGGTAAAAGAACCTGGGTGCTGAGTGACCGTGAGAAGCAGGGAGACAGCCAATCAGCCTGCAGCTTGGGTACCCAACACAGTGAGAGAAACCCCAACAATCTGTCACCATCTGGGATGGCCCAGGTGCTCAGCTGTACTGTCCTACTATGCACTGCCTTGGCAGATGGGCCACAGCAACAGTTGGCATTACCAAGTCCAGGAATGCCTTACTTGGAAAGTATCCTAATATTCTAATTTAGAACATATGAAAGAAATGCATACGATGTCACTCATAGTATCATTCAGTTACAACCTCTGAAAAGAGGATTCTGAACCTATGCATCAGGGATTTTTGTAAACTCTGGAAGTCATACAAATGTTAGGTGGAGAATATGTAAAAATCTGGAAAAAGATGACCGTGACCCTGGATATGTACCTCCCCTCTTTTCAAAAATTATTCTCCCTGTGAGAGCCACGTGTAACTGGGCAGAAAACAAACTGAGAGCAATCGCTCCAGAAAAACAGGCCAGCCGAGGAATACAACCCAGGGGCCTTTTCCTTTTTTCCTTGAGATTTCAGAGTTGCTGCTCTGGGGTATCTCTCCCATATACACACAAATCTGTTCCTACCTGATTTCGTGAAACACTTCCATCCACCGGGTCACTATATTCAAAGTTATCAGCTTTCTCCACAGTATAGACTTTATCATTTGCAGAAAACTGCTTCCCCACAAAGGAGCGGTCAAACATTAGGGCCTCCAGATCCTTCATCATTTTGTTTGCACCCTCGGCTTCCACCTCCTCGTAATCATACCTGGAAGAAGATATGCGCTGAGACTCGTGGTGCTGACTTCAGAGCATCTGAGGCAAGCAGCACTGTCTGTCACTTACTTGGCCCTCCCTAAACCATCTAACTTCAAGGAGGCTGGCAGAAACTATGAGCTTGTCAATCAGCATGGATGGAGTGGGCTGGGGATGAAAGGAGGGTTTAGGAGAAAGGGGCAGGGTCTTCTGAATAAGCAGAAAACTCCCAGTTTGGCTTTTCTGCAGATACAAGCTCTAAGATGCTTCAAAGGCTTTCAGGATATTCTATCTAGTGCTGCATCTCCACATTCCAAGGAGCGAGAATGAGCAGATCTGTTCTCTCCAGAGAACTCTAGATCAGCTGGCACATGACTCAGGCCTTTCTTGTCCACACTCCTGGGACTCCTATGAGGTGAAGGCTGAGACTGTCCCCAGGTTCGGCCTGCTGAGACTAAGCAGAGTAGCTAAGTAGAGTTCCCATCTCCACAGAAGCTTCCTAGAGCCAGGCCAGGATTTCAGTGACCAGATAAGGAGCCAACGTGCAGCCTGACAAAGGATGCCATAAATGGATGCCAAAGGACCAAGAAATAAAAATTCAATTCAGTTAAAAAACTGCACCATACATGAAATTCTGTGATATTTTTCTTTTAAAAACTATTCCAGCCTCTTTCTTATGAAATTAATGACTGCAGGTGACTTTTCTTAACCTAGTGTTATACATTCTCTTGAAAGAGTTCCTTTTTAGAGGCTCAATATTGTAGAATCTCTATTTGTTTGTAACAGCAAAATAAATATGAGATGTGTGAGAGGACACCCCAAGACAAGAGCAATACTGTGGAATTACAGCCAACTTACTGTGGCTCCAGGAGTCTATGAATCCAAGATAAAACAGTTCCCTTCATCCTGAAGCTGGCTCCTTCCCCCAGTTAAAATGATAAAGGGCAAGGAATTACAAACAGGTGCCTGTGCTTTACGCCTGTAACCTCAGGAGATATGAGGAAGAGGTTTTTTTAATCCTAGACACAGAGGGTTGGAATGAAAGAAATCCTAGCTTTGCTTTGCAACCAGACAGAGTGAGCTATGACTCCAGCTTCTGCTGCCTATGAGCTGCAACAAAGGGCCAGCTGTCCCATCTCTCAGAATCTCGACTGCTTTATCGATAGTTATCTTGAGGCTGATATGAGACGATATGCAAGTGTCTAGCACTGATGTTTAGGGAATAGAGAGGACAGTGGAGTCAAAACAAATCAATTAGCAGTTGTATTTGATAATCAGTAAGAATATGCTGAAATAGATCCAAGAGAGCTGTTTAATACAAGACTGACTCCTTCTGAACACTGCTCTTAACCTTATTCCACTCTGGCTACTGTTCATTCATCAGCCCACTCATTTATCTATTCGAGACATATTTACACAGTGTCTATAAGACATACAGATTGGAGTACACCACGGTACACAAAAACAGACATGGTCTTGTTTCTATGAAACTCTGGACTCTAGAGTCCATGGCTGCTGCTGTGTATTACCAGGTTTTCTGGCTCTTAAGAGTACATTCCTGCTCCATTCCTAGGACTTCTTCATAATACCACATGGCAGTTTTTACTTATGATTTCAACGAAAAGAGTAACTTAATCAGAATCTAAGGACTAATGAGCCCAAGTTGCTTAATAGTGAATTCTTTATGGAATATCTGAAGCCCATGGACTGTTAACTCTGGAATTATACACATATTAATTACCTAATCTAACTAGCCATTTTATATAAAAAAAAGAGCAACTGAGTTCCAGAGAAATTATATCCATAAATTTCTTACAAATAAACAATTTATCTTTTTTTTTTCCTTTTCATCAAAAGAATATTGAGCTTCAAGGAAAAAAAGTTACTAGATTTTTTATACTTATCAAGGGGCAGGCAAATTAGAAATAGTAAAAAACACTACTTGTAAAAGAATATTTTCGGGGTGATGGGGCACTTGACCTCAGAGCCTCACACATATTGACCACACATGCTCTTCATCCCTGAACTATACCTTTAGCCCCACCATACACATTTCTAATAGTTAAAAAAGATACTGGTAAAGAAAAATTATTAAATGACCTAATTTTTTTTTTTTTTTGGTCTGTTTGAGACAGGGTCTCCCTGTAGCCCCAGCTGTCCTGGAACTCACTATGTAGACCAGGTTGGCCTTGAACTCACAGAGTCCACCTGCTTGTTTCTTACAGAATCACTAGTATCTGGCAGAAAGTAAATATACAGTAAATATTTGTTGAATCAATGAATGAAGTATTGGCAAACACAGTCACTGGAGTCCAATTTTAATGAGGCATTAAAGTCAATTTTGACTAGGCATAATTGTTTCCATAATTTAAGGAAAAACGTTTCTCTACTTTTTATTTACAGAGTTCACAAACACGTTCTGTCCTAGTTTGCTTTCAATTGCCATGACAAAACACTCTGACCAATAACAACTTGGGAGGAAAGGGTTTATTTGGCTTACATCTCCTGGGTCACAGTTCATTACTGAGGGAGCCCAAGGTAGGAACTCAGGGCAGGAACCTGGAGGCAGGAGCTGAAGCGCAGGCCATGAAGGAACGCTGCTTACTGGTTTGCTTCCATGGCCCATGCTAAACTTGCTTTCCTATATAATACAGTACAACCTGCCTGGGTGGCACCACCCACAGTGGGCTGGGCCTCCCACAACACTCAACAATCAAGAAAATATCCCAGACCCAGACCTGGCTATAGGCTAGTACAATGGAGGCAATTCCTCAGTTGAGGCTCCCTCAACCCAAATTGAGAACTAAAGCTATACAGCACACCTTCAGATTCATTTCATTTGGTCCTCTCAATAGCTGGACCTCTTTCTGAAGATAAGAAAACTGAATACAGAGGTAAAGTGACTTCCTAATTCAGTAAAGATATGAAATTCAAATATAGTTTTGTGAAACCAAATTCAATGTTATTATTAAGTCCATCTGATGGGTACATTTAAGATGTTCAAAGCATTTATTCTTTCAGTTAGGCTAGCTAACATGTTAAAGCCTTCTTCTTTATGACTGATATAAAAGCTGACTTCATTTTGACTCTGATCAAATCAGTGGTTAAGAGCACTAGCTACTCCTCCAAAAGACCCTGGTTCAGTTCCCAGCACCCACATGGCAGCTAACAATTGTCTATAACTCCAGTTCCAGGGGATCTGACAATATCTTCTGGCCTCTACCAGGTTAACCAGCATGTAGTGCATTTATATGCAGTAAACACTCATATAAATAAAATAAAAACAAATTAACTAATTAAAAAAATTAAAAGTCCCCAAGTGAAGAAGTTAGATGATTTAGGGTGTTACTAACACTCCAGACAGTAAAGACACTGACACCTGAGAACTCTCTCTGCCCACTTCCCCGCTATCCCTCCAGATGATGTCTTACTTACCTGGTAAAGAAGTTCCGACCAAACTTCTGCCAGTGATCTTTGAGGATGTCCTCCACGCTCTGCTTGCGGGTGGCCAAAATGGAGAGCCAGGCCAGGACAGCCCACAGTCCATCCTTCTCGCGGATATGGTCAGAACCTGTGAGGCAACAAGAAATGTGGCTTCTCTAGAGCACATGACAGCAAGGCCAGCAAGCACATGGGCTACTAAAGCAGCCACGAGGCTCTCCCAAGGCCTTGAGGACCTTCAGGGTCTCACATGTTGAATAAAGCAGCACAATATCCAGAAGCAGTGGGAGTAACTAACAAATGCCAGGTGTCAGTAAACACCAGTGAGACAATTTGGTAGAACTCGGTATACCAATTACTAAGTATTAATGCAAGAGGGGAAATCCCCAAATTGACCTTAAATAAGCACTAGGAAAACAGTCATTATAAATTTTCAGTAATTAAAACGGTCTTGTAGCTTCATGAACAAAACAGAGCACCTAGAGATCCAACTATAGGTGAGGCTCGAAATTATAAAGTTGCATTTTGAGTCTGGGGGTGAGTAGGATTAATTTCTTTAAATGATGTTAAGATAACTGGCTCACTACTATAAAGAAACTTTACGGGGTTTCCCCTAAAAAAAAAAAAAAAAAAACAGTTCAAAGAGATTTTTAGTTGAATGCAAATGTAGAAATTGAAAACCTTGCTGGGCTTGGTGGTATCCACATGTAATCCCAGCACTGGGGAGGAGGAGGAGGTAGGAAGGTCAGGAGTTCAAGTCCAACTGTGGTTACATAAAATTCCAAGGCCAGCCTGAGCTATACGCAATCTCAAAAACAAACAAACAAAAAATGGGGGGGGGCCGCAATTGAAAAACTTTAAATACTGGAAGGGCTATAATTTTTTTAGATCTTTGGGTAATAAATACACATAAATCCATTATTCATAAAGAGAAACGATTGATTTTTTATCTATCTAAAATTTCCTATTTCTGTACAGCACTATACTACAGATAAAATTAAAGGCTATCAATTTACTTGAAAAAGTCTACATAGTTACAATTCTAAAACAGATATTGAATAGATTCAGTACAGGAATGAAATCGTACATATTTGTTAGAGAAAAGCAAGGGGTAGAAAGATGGCTCAGCTGTTAAGAGCAGGGGCTGCTCTTGCATAGGACCTGTGTTCAGCTGCTATCAAAGTGGCTAGCAACCATCCTTAACTCCAGTCCAGGGAATCTGGTGCCCTCTATTGACCTCTTCAGACATTGCATGACATGAGTGCATTTACAAACATGCAGGCAGAATACTCATACACATAAAGCAAAAAAATTTAAAATAAATATGTAAATAAGAGAAAAACATAAATAGAAAAATAGGCCAAGGATATAAATAGGCAATTCACCAAAAGTTAATATTTATAAGAAAAGATGGAATTATTTTTAAGAAGACAAAGTAAAGTTAAAACCACAATGAGAGCCCATAGGAGAAGGGCATTATTAAAGAAGAAATAGGAAAAATGGGGGTACTTTAAATGGTGAAACCATGGTGGAAAGGTTAGACAATGTGAGAGATAAATAATGCCTAGCTAGTTTTAAAAACCAGAGGGAACTATATTAGTCCAACAACCTACTGACAAATTATACATACCAGATCAAGAAATATATGTCTAGGAAAGGTTTATCTGAGAACAACTGGTCTTTGCCCAAGATTTATCTACATGGCGACTTGTGGAACTAACCTTCTTGGATTTTTAACAGCCATACATTGAGGCCTATACAATTTGGTCAGAGGGATAAAGGACAGTTTTGTCCTTGCCCTCCTAGGTCAACTAAGTTCCAGGGGACTATGAACATCTCTCA